TGTACTATAGCTCTTTAGATCTTTTTCACTATTTAATAAATAAAGAAATAAGCTTTATTAAAATTAAAACTGAAAATGCTCTCAATTGATGTAATTTATTTACAGCAATTAATAAATTTATCTTATTACTTTTTATATAAGAAAGTATTCTTACAAATAAATATTTTTTATTTTTACATTAAAATAAAAATAATATTAAATATATTTTTTTAAATTTTATAGATTTAATCTAATAAAGTTATTCCAATTGCATATAAAATCAATTATTTTTTTTATATATTTTTATTATTAAAAAATAATTAAATTTATATGCAATTAGAACAGTTTCATTAAATTAAATCTAAAAAAAATATATATTATAATATATAATATTATTTTTATTTTAATATAAAAATAAAAATATTTATTAGTAAATTCAAATCTTTTATATAAAAATAAAAACTCATAAATTTGATTTGATATTAAATTTTATTTTTATATTTATATATATTTTTTGAATTAGTTATTGAAATTACTTGAAATTTTAATGTATATATCCCTATATTATATTACTAGAAATTGAAAAAGATATAGTAATATATAATAAAATTGACATTATTGCTTTATATTAAAATTTATTATTTTATAATAAAATAACAAATTTTAATATAAAGCAATAATGTCAATTTTATTATATTTTACTATGTTTTTTTTCAATTTCCAGTAATATAATATATGAATATGTAATATATAATATATTTCAATAATTCTATTAGTTTAAAATTATAAATCTTGCTTTTTTGTATTATTATATTTTAAAATGTGTTTTCAATATTCTGAAAGATCACTGTATTTAAAATTATTAATCATTATTAGAAATAGTAATAAAATTTAAATATTATATAAATAATAATCTGTCTTCTAATTAATCATAGAAGATCAAATAATTGAAGTAATTATTATCTAATTAGTCTAATTAATAAATATAATATGAGAAGAATAAATAAAATAATCTCAGTTTTTGTTTTCATAAAAAATATAATAATTAGTTTTTTTAAATTTAAAATATATAAAATTTATAAGGATTGAAATTTATTAGTAAATGGAACAATATTAAAACATTATATAATGATTAATCATATTCTAATTGGTTGCAAGAGTTAAGTACAAATCATGTGCAATTTATTATATAAATTATTACAATTTTATTGGTTCTTAACTTTGAGCTATAAGATTAGGGAAGTGACATATAAGATCGAGTTACTATAGAGGTAATCTCTCTCCAGATGAGATTTTTGAGATTTCTCCCTGATAATTACGTAATATATGTCACTTCCCTTAAAGTTTATTATAATAACTTGTTACACAAAATTATATAATTTTATTGGTTCCGATCCCAAACTTATAAGTTCGGATGCGTATTTAAAATTTTGAAACAAGTTTGTGTAATTTGTTGTCTTTAGCTTGTATGTACTATATTTATTATGTAAATAAAAATTTATTGATGTTGTGTCAAAACTTTTTGAATGCCCACGTAAATAAAAAATATACAAATAAGCTTGGCCTTAGTCTCGCAATAAAGCTGTAATAATTTTACTACTACGTCGCTGATGTTTCACATAAAAAAGTTTTATTGTCGATGCTCTATTTTTATTTGCGAATAGATATTAATATGATTTAATAGCATTACCCCATACATCGCGAAAAATTATTTTGGTCGAAAATATTACTTTATTGCAGTTACTAAAAATATATTACGAAGCACAGGGTACACGATAACGTCTACTAAATAGATTTTTCCATTTTACGTACAACTTTATATCAAGCTTCCAGGAAACGAAGAAATTCTGCATGAAAGTTTTCAAGCTTGCTAAGACATAGTTTTATAATCGATGTTATTGTTGTTATAAGCATTGACAACAAAGTCATATGACTTTTGATTTATAATTCCAGATAATTCTTGACCAGAAGCTGCATTGCGAGAAAATAAAGTTTCCGAGACATTCGACGATTGAAGAAATTGTTGTTTAGGAGAGAAAAAATTTTCTGGTTCTGAGTGTGATTGTAGTAATGGAAACGACTGTGATAATGACGGCTGTAACGATTGTTGTTGCGATTGATTTGCCATTCTATACGACACTATAATTTTTATAATTCTGATAAGCTGCTTTAGCCATATCGAAATAATGCCCGAAGATTCATTTCCCAATAATTGGAGAGAGCTCCGTCATTTTATAGTTTGCATTGTTTAACTGCTTAATATAATTCATTCTATAAATTAAATAAGCATTGGCAGTTTTTGTCGGCTGACTAGATTTATTGAGTGCAAGATTAACAGTAATAGAATACAAGGAAAGGAAGAATTATTGTTATAGTTAGGATAATTTAATTAAAAAAGATTTTGACAGTTTTCATTTTTTTCGAACTCTTATCGTTATGAATAAAGCTTTTTGCGTCTGAAATTAGTTACTAAATTCAGATTTTTTGTTTGGTAGGGCTTGGTTGTGTGAATCATTGTGATATTATTTTATCGTTATAGCGAGTTAAAGGCTCTTCCTACGATTTGGTTTCGATTCATACAACATGCATCATTTAAAATGATGCATCTCATTCATGGGGTATTGTTATATATAATATTTTTATAATAAACATTTGCTATAGCTAATGCTCCTTGGCTCCTTACTATAAAGAAAGCCAAATTTTGACATATTAATATGATCAAAATATTGTGATACATAAATATTAGAAACCTAAAAATTACAAGATACAGTATCGGTCTATCGTAACGCCAGTAAGGATTGTGATATCATTTTAAAGATAAATTGGATTTAATAATAAAAATAGATAGTATTGTAAAAGATATTCGAACCATATTTTAAATAATTATTTTTATATTTTATCACATATACCATGTCTCCATTTACTAAGAGTATAGGACTAGAGTAACGAGTCTTAAATTTTTAAGGTTATATTTTTAGTTCCTACTATTATTAAATCTGGGATCCTGTATTACAACGTCATAGTCCTATTTTATTTGTTTTAAATAAGATGATTTTCAGTTCTTGCAAAAATGAGTTTATGTTATTTGAGTATCAAGATTCAAGTATGCCTTCTGATTACTAATACAATTATCAAGATAAGATGCAATTTGAAATCATGTGTTATAATGTAGTTGAAAACAAGCATGACAAAGATAATAATTTAGAAATAGCTATTTATAAAATTTAGAGTGTAATTTACTTGAAACAATAGTTCAAATAGTAGATATTGCAATTAGAGAGTTTATATACTGTATTATATTATATATCAGAAAGTTTTATATGTATATATTCATATACATAGAGTTTTGTTTGGTGGCAATGATATTAAAAAATATCTTGAAATATACATAAGACTTTGTGATAAACAAGCAAAAAGATATCTTTTAAATAACATATTCTCAAATAAAATACCTTTAGACATATTCAAATATATTGAATTTTGTCTGGAAACTTTTCCAATATGTCCAGTGATAACAAACTATATGATATATCTTTGAACTAGTGCTTATTGGCATGTTCATGTATTTTAAGACGTTTCTATGACAAAATGATCTAGTGTTTGAACTCATCCAAAAAAATGTGACCTGGATCACCCAAGAGCTTAACTTGTGGATCACCTGGATGGGCATGCTTAAAATTATATGATTGGTTGAATTATTGCAGTTTGCAAATTGTTTAAGACTCATTATTCTTACAATTTATTGCATATATAACTTCAGGTTGTTTTTGCAATTCAGATAGCTGATAATAGTAATATGAATTGGTTATTTTTTTACTAATCAATTATTCAGTCATTCATAATCAAATAAAATCGATTTGATCCAGTTAAATAAAGATAATCCAGTTAATTTAATTAATTGAATCATCTGGATGATCTGATTAGTTGCATATCTGATTTAATTAATCGAATTATTTAGATAATCTGAGTAGTTGTATATCCAATTTAATTAATTAATCCACATTACTTGCATTATTAAACTGATCATTAATCACTTGATGTGTGATGCATTTTAAGATAATAATTGAATTGAATTTTTTAAATATTGTTTAAAAAATATTAACTTTTATTTTTCGGATAAAAATTAACTAAAAATTTATTCTTCAGGTGGAAAAATATCAATAATATTCATATTTCTTTTTAAAAATACCATATTATGAAGAAGATTAAGATCTAAACATGTATAACGAATAGAGATATGATTTCTGGCATCTGAAAAAAGTCATTCGCTTGAAACAGAAGTTGCTGGAATATGAAGATATTTTTGAACAAGTCCAGATAATGTTAAAAATATTGTTTTTTTTTCAGCTCACCATTTACATGAATCTTTATTAGATTTAGCAGACTTTAAGTTAATATATTGATTAATTTCATCTTCAGAAACATTTTGTTCAAATGTGTTTAAAAATATTTGACTAAACAAAATATTTCTAGTTCTTTCACGATAATCTCTTCTTAAATCTAAATAAATATTATATTAATAATAATTTAAAGTAATTATTATAAATAAATAATAAAAATAATTACTATTAGTATTATTACTATTTTCAACTTCATTTAAAATATAGTGGATGAAGAAGTATCAGATAAGTGATCAGATGTGAAATTGATATAATTAGAAAATTAATATAGTTTATCTTGAATTAATTGAATAATTCAATTTTTTTCATCTCGTACAAAAGCTAAATTTTTGAATTGTGAATCTAAAAATGCTGTTTTTAAAGCAATATCAAATGGAATTCTCCAATATTGATATAATACTTGAATAATAATACTCTTAATTCTCATCATTTTCTTGTTGTTCAACAAATTCTTGTTTATCTTCATTATTTAATATGATCATATCTATAGCAAAATCTACAGCTTCTGATAATACTAATAAAGTTTCATCTTCAAATACTTTCTGTAATTCAGAAATAATAGGATATATTAGACTAAGTGTCATATAGATACTATCACTTAAAAAAGTGGTAATTTCTTCAAATAATTCAAATAAATTAATCAAATATTTTATAAAGATTCATTCATCATCTGTAAGATTAATTTTTTTAAGATGACATTTATCTTTTCTTATTGTACTATTCCAATCTTGTGATAAATCACTTGCCAATTAATCAATTGCATCTTTTTAAATAAAGTAATTAATCCCATACTAAATATGATAAATTTCAATAAGTGCTTACATTACTAAAATTTTTGAATAGTTTAAGAAAGTCTGAGTTATTTGAAGTCTTTTTATTTGTTTGAAATATGTAAAAAAACTAGTTTAAGCATTTGGCATGAAAAATAAAAACCAAGGTAAATATTAATTTTTTTTCAATTGCAAGCTGAAGTATATGTGCTGTACATGGTATTCATGTAATATTATTTAAATATAATATAGCTTTAATCATATTTGATCTATTGTCAGCTGTAATAGCAATTACTTTTTCCTACAAGCTCCATTTTTTAATAATTAATTGAATCTTATTTCGAATATGTTCAGCAGTATGTGGATATAGTAAATATTTCAACTAAGGTTGCTTGCCGAAATCCCTTAGTGACTGTCTAAATTCTGTCAAAATTATAATAAACTATTAGTAAATAACCCGTTGAAATTCTGACGAATTTTGAAACCTGTCGTAACCAAAATTATGTCGAAATTCTAATTAACAATTAGTGTGTAACCCGTCGAAATTATGACGATATTTTTCTGAAAGGATTTAGGCAAGCATCCTTAATTTCAACTCAAGCAAAATATCATAAATTTTAAAATCAGAGTTCATAAATGATGCAGTAATATCAATATATTCTTGTTTAACATAAGACATCCATAAATCAGTGATAAGTGAGATGTACTTAGCAGAAGATAAAAGAAGTTCTTTTATTGATCCTTTAGTCCAATCATATACTTAATGAATTAAAGTTTGAGATTTTTTCATTTGGTATTTGTAGTTCAGATTTAAGTAATTAAGAAAATTTTCAAAAGTAGTATTATCAATGGTATTAATAGGTTTAGTGAAATGAAGAATCCATTTTGTAAGTTTGCAATTTGTTACTAGTTGTCGAGTTTCTGTTCAACATTGTTGATTTTGTATTTCTAACATATCTTTAATATTTTCACTTTTTATAGACTATTAAAAGCAATATATTAATAGATTTTTTTATATTAAACTTGAAACTAATAAAAAAATTTTATCTTGATGAAGTTTTTCTTGTTTAATAATAGTATGAATACTTGCAAGATGTTGAATAGCATTACTAGTACTGTCAAAAATAGTGTATATTTTTTGATATAGTTTACCATTCGCAAGATTAAGAGAACAAACTATGATTTTATCAGATTCACTAGAATTATTTTTTTTGATAAAATATTTTCAAATAAAACTTTTTTTTTAGAATCGCCAGGACAGTGATATTTTCTTAAGCTTCAAAAGCTCTCATAAGTATTAGTTACTACTTATGTGACTTTCTTAATTTTACTGAGTGTCGTTAAAAATATTGTTTATTATGATGTATTATAATAGAATAAAAGATCAATCTTATTATTAGTTAAAAATAATTATAATACAGTTATATATATTAATATGCATCTCATTTCTAAAAAAATATTATATACATTCTGCTCTACTTCTTAAATCGTATTCTATTAATCAACATGTCTTGTCAAAATTTAATTATTTTTACTTGAAATATAACTCTGTAATTGAAAATTTGAAGAGATAGGATATGAAAATGAAAAAGATATGAAAATGGAAAAGATATAAAAAGAGACAGGTAAACAATGAAACTTATCCTAATAGTTAATTATAAATACTCACACTCTTTAAGTTTACAATTATATTTTAGTAATCAGTCCAATATTAATATGTACACTTTTATCAGCAAAATATCTGCTTGATATTAAGTGCTTAGTGATATTCATTAAATACAACCCCTGTAAAAAAAATGGGCCGTTTTTGATCCGGAAAATTCCCGATTTTTGAGTCTGAAAATTTCCGGATTTTTTTCTGATTTCTAATATCCGATTTAA